ATTGAGGTTGAACCAAGACGTAGCAAAAGGGAAAGAATAGAAAAATTTTATGGTCCTGATTTTCTGACTTATATGCTAGAAAGTGAACCTCAAAGCTATCAAGAAGCTGTGAACTCATCGGAAAGACCTCAATGGAAAGATGCCATTAAAAGTGAAATATATTCCATATTGCAAAATCATACATGGGAGCTAGTGGATCTTCCTTCAGGAAGTAAACCACTAGGCTACAAATGGATTTTCAAAAAGAAAATGAAAACAGATGGAATTATCGAAAAGTACATGCCAGGTTAGTAATAAAAGGTTATAGACAACGTGAAGGCCTTGATTACTTTGATACATATTTTTCAGTGACAAGAATAACATCTATTAGGATCATACTTGCGATCGCTGCTCTGCGAAATCTTGAAGAACATCAAATGGATGTTAAAACTGTATTTTTGAATGGAGATTTAGATGAAGAAATCTATATAGAACAACCCGAGGGATTTTCATCATCAGGACAGGAAAAGAAAGTCTGCAAATTGGTGAAGTCATTGTATGGTTTGAAACAAGTTTCAAAACAGTGGCACGAAAAATTTGACAATGTCATGACGGAATGTGGATTTAAAATCAACGAGTGTGATGAATGTGTTTATTTTAAAGACACTGAAAATGGTTATGTAATTTTATGTCTTTATGTTGATGACATACTTATTGTTGGTAATAACGATAAGATGGTTAAATCCACTAAAAATCTGTTAAATTTGAGATTTGACATGAAAGATATGATTAGCTGATATTATACTTGGAATTAAAATTTCACGAACATCAGATGGGATCATTCTAAGCCAATCACAATATGTGGACAAAATTTTAGAAAAGTTTAGTAAGGATGATTTCGGGATAGCTAAAACACCGATAGATACAAGTCAGCATGATGCGAACCCCGTAGCAATGGAAACTACGAAACCCACAACTAGATTGATGCGGAACCCAAGAACGCCAATACTAATTCGGTTTTGGATCTTGAACCCCAATAATCAAACCACGAAACCTCAGATTAGCGAAGAATCTGAAACCCCTTGATTACAATCAATGAAACCCACAATCCGACGTCAAGAACGCCACAAGAAATCGATTCTTGATAAGTTCTAAGTTTGTCCAATGAAGAACAATCGATTGAAAGAAAATTTCTCTCTCTGTATTAATTTCAACAAAAGTTTTTTTTTTTTACATAATGAAAAGAGTTTCCTATTTATTCTATGGCATAAAAAACGTCCAAATTAATCAAAATATGGTTATATTTTGATTTCACAAGAGTTCTACCAACATTAGAAGATTCGGCAAAAATTAAAAAAAAAAAAGAATTTTTTTCCCACGTTTTGATCTATGCGGTCGCATAGATCACTCCAGCCAACCACAGGTAGTTTCGGTGGCCTTCTATGCGGTCGCATAGGCCGTTGAGCCTGCGGTCGCATAGACCAACTCCGTGCCGCCTTCGTCCACTTTTATCTCGTTGATCCAAGTTCCTTCGGCCTTCGACCCCAACATGAAACTTGTTCCATTTGACCTCCCGAACATTGTTTCATCGATCGTTTGCTTGACAAGCAATCCCATCGCTTCTTTCACTCGCTTCGTCCTCGATCGCGTCATCGGTCCGCCTTCGACTATCAATGGATCCTTTCCGTAACTCGTCGCTTGACTCGCTTCGGTTGTGGACGTGTCTTGATTCATATCACAGCATCTATCCAAAAATAAAGGTGAAGGTATCTCTCAAGTAGAATATTCGAGAATTATTGGAAGTTTGATGTACTTGATGAGTTGTACAAGACCAGACAACCTACACAGTTAGTAAACTTAGTAGATACACGAGTAATCCAGGAGCTGATCACTGGAGAGGAATAATAAGAGCACTGAGGTACCTTAGATATACTCGTAATTTTGGACTGCACTATACCAGATATCCAGCAGTCAATGAAGGATACAGTAATTCTAATTGGATATCTGATATTAAAGACTCAGGGTCCACTAGTGGATTTGTATTCACATTGGGAGGTGCTGTCATATCGTGGAAATGCTCTAAGCAAACGGTTATAGTCAGATCTACGATGAAATCTGAGTTTATAACTCTAGATAAATGCGGTAAAGAGGCCGAATGGTTGTGCAACTTTTTATAGGATATTCCAAGATGGTCAAAACCTGTGCCAGCAATTTGCATATATTGTGACAGTCAATCAGCAATAGGAAGGGCACAGAGTAACATGTACAATGGTAAGTCTAGACATGTACGTCTTAGGCACAATACCATAAGACAACTACTCTCAGCTGGAATTATCACTATTGACTATGTAAGGTCAAAAGATGACATTGCAGATCCGCTAATCAAAGGGTTAAATAGAGAGTTAGTTGGGAAATCATCGAGAGGAATGAGACTTAAGCCCTAGGACGGATAAGTCAATACAAAGGAAACCTAACCTAGTTGACTGGAGATCCCAAGATCTAGGTTCAAGAGGACAACCTAATTGTAAAGACTTGATTGAATCATTGTGGGGGATGTTACCTCATATCCATTCCTATGATGTAACAGTGATGCCCGTACGGATGAAGGATAAGTAGTAGGCTTTTAATGATTCTTATACATCGTAAATCGAGTCAAGTAATGCGGGTTACTTGTAATAAAGAAATCACCTATGTGAGAAAGAAGTGGGGCCGCTTCTAAGAGAATTGTGTGGGGCTCAATTTTTAGAAACTCTCACAGAACTAGGCGTATGTTCATGGCCAAAACGAACATAATAATAAGAACTGAATTGTGTTAGGAAGAATCCTGTGTAAAGTATATCATCGTTTACACAAACGGCAGAACAGTTCAAGAACAACGCATCTACTGATCAGCTAGTAAAGTAAATATACTTTCACAATGGAAGGTTCAAAGGGTAATACCTACCTATCCTATGCATGTTTCAACCGTTGAACTTTATCACCAAGTCTCTCATGTTACGTTTTTGTGTCTCTCCCAATTTTCATTCATGTGGGGGATTGTTGAAAAAATGAGTAAATTGGTCACTTTTGGCATAAGTTTGAGTGGGACCTGTTGGTCCAATTTGGAAGATCAAAGTTGATCTGTGTTCTCCTCCGTAAGAGCATCGAAACCATATATTTACTTGCCAAAATTGATCAACGAATGAATGAAAATTTGAAACTCAAAGTTGGCCATTGGAAGATGGTTTATGTGGGAAAAGTGACATTTGTCCCACATAGGAAAATGAAGAAAGCATGAACCACTTTATATATGCCTACACTTTGAAATGGTGTAATCATGTGTAGTATAGAGGCTTTCTCCATGTGCGTGCGTAGGGAGGGTACAAATCTCGGACAGAAATAGCCTTCGGAACTTGAACTTAGGTGCGGGCGCGATCTGCGCACACGAATGTCGGACCGAACAAGGTAAAATTCGCCCCTTCGGAGAGCCCACATTTTGCAATTTTTTTGTTTTCTCCAATGATTTTTAAGTTTCTAAAACTGCAAAAACTCCAATGGACTCCCAATGGTCACAGTGTTAATGGGCAGTAACTCCAATGGACTCCCAATGGTCACAATGTTAATGCCTATAAAAAGGCTCATTTTCCAGTAATCTAACACACTCGAAAATCTTACCTACATTCCTGCATACACAGTTTCTTCTTTTCTGAATTCCTTGTCAAGTAAGGTCTTGTTCTTGTAGTGATATTGTTCGGATACTAGATCACTTCACCAGAGTAGTATCTGCAGTGCTCAGATTCTACTATATACTGTTGTATTTTGGGAAACAGACGCTCGGATTAAAACTCAAGTACGTACAGTGAGAGGGCGAATCTATTTTAAGGACACTGTGTTTACACAGGCCTCGGGTTAAAAATTTATATGAAATTATAAGCATGTCATTTTTTTTTCTCTGAAATTTTTGTTAATTTCAGCTTTCCAGTTTAAATTTATTAAATTAACGTGTTTTACATAACTTAATATAATTTAGTTCTAAATTAAATTAATATATTGTGGTTTATGATAATTTAGTTTATTGTGTAATTAACTAATATTATAAACCGGTATGAGAAAATTCGGTATCATTCCACCAACATAATTTCCAACATCTAATACCCAAAAGTGAAACACTTTCAAATGGAATTAGAATAAATTAGCCACCAATTGATTTTTGTTCAATTCCAATTCAAGTCGGGTGGTTTAAGATAAAAATATTCACCCCTCGGGATTTTGAAAGATTTAATCAAGTAGGAGTTGGAAGTGGAAGAATACAACGAGATTGGGAGAGTCTTGTTTATATTCAAAGAGTAATCTCTTCATTTAAAAGTCTCCTCCGACATTTTAATTTAGATATTTATCTTTTTATTTTTTTCAATGAAAAATGGCAAACCCATGGGTAGAGGTAGCAATGGATCGAGCAGAGTCGACTCACCATGTAGACATTCAAGCTCAACTTGGCACTATGGAGGAGCAGAGTTCAAGCTAGAGCTCGACTCATATTCAAATCTTATGGTTGGTTTGATCCTTTTATTCACGTCTTTACGAGTTGAGCTGTCCATAAGCCTAAACGAGTAAATTGTCCCAATAGCCCGAACGAGTCGAGCCATCCACAAACTGGCTCATTTATTTAAAATAAATTAACAAAATAAACCTAAAAATGATCATTTAAAAAAAAAATATATATATATATAATAATAATAATAATAATAATAATAATAATAATAATAATAATAATAAAACAAGTTAAAAAATGAGGAATAAAATACGTGCCGGCCAGGAGCCCATACGAGTCCGCTCGCCAAAAAATAAAAAAAAATTGAGCTGACGGATTCATGATCGAGCTATTCTTGAGTGGGAGTGGTTTTCCCCTTCATGAATCGTCTCAAAGGGAATCCAAGCTGCCCATGTCGAGCCCGCGAACCGCTGGAGTTACTTCCCTACTCAAGGGTAAAATAGAACTTTAACAATGGGCAAGATTTTATTAATTAATTAATTAATATGAAAATCTAATTACAATCACACTGAACCTTCCCTATAAATACTCAATTCCCAAATCGAATAATCGTCGTTGCTCTAAAACCCTAAAAAAGCTCTAGCACCCAGAATACTCCCCTCAGGTGATCGACCTTTACAGTTCTCTAGTCTATTATCCACACAATCTTATTTGTACGTAGGGTCTTTTGTGCGTATTTTAGGGATTTCGTTGTTGTATTGCGTCTATTATGTGACGTTGTAGCGATGTGTATATGTATAAGAAGATTGTGTTATTTATGACGTTTTATTATATTGTATTATTGGATTTTCTTACATATTTAACTATTGAATAGAAGATGTCTGGATCTTTTTTATATGAAATGATGATCTTTAGCGTGTTTCGATAACTGATAATGATGGCTAATTTCGTATATATTAGCTCTAGCTGGTCGGGTTTCTCACTACCCACAGATGGTATACTGTTAATTTTTAGATTTTGCAGATCAAAACTTGATTGACTTGCTTTACCATTTCAATAGACAAAGGAAAAGGGGAAGAATTCTTTTGCTAGATACTATTTATTTGTTTAGTGGGTTAATGAATTTTGTTGGTGGCTCTCAGAGGATGAAATGATGAATTTCATGATGTATTGATTGCTGAAATGATGGCAACTTATCATGTATTAGCTCTAGCTGATCATTCTCTTGGTCAATCTTTTGTGTTTTGGGCTTAACATTTTTTAGTTGCGTGTTCTTCCTAATTTATTGTCAATGTCTTGACATCACTAGATTCAATTTCGTACAAGTAATGTGACTTACTTTTATATGCTTGCCCGATACAGCAGTTATATTGTCTTTTTTTATTATTATTTAAAAAGTTTTATGCATCTACTAGCGAGAAATGTTTATATTTACTTTATTTCTATATGGTCCTTGCGAACAATATTCCTTGCTATTGTAATTATTTGTAGGAAAAACTAGATGTCCCAATTTTAATTAACTTTGCATTTTCGTTTTATGTTGTCTATTGAATTGAAGATCAATATCGAGGGAAGGACAAAGGAAGGAAAAAAACATTACAAGGCATATCTGTGAAGGTAGTCGTCTTAGAAAGTGAGAAGAAGTCTCTGAATCCCCTGCACTGCTTTAGACTAGAGCACGTGAAACTGCAAAAACATGAATGCCCCTGACCGATATGAGCGATTTGTTGTCCCTGAGGGTGTTGCCAAGTACACACACACACTCTCTCTCTCTCTCTCTCTCAAATTATATGTATTCATATGTTTATGTACAATTAGATTTTCTGTTGGGCATATATTCTTGCTAATGCTGTTTTTGACTGGAAATGCAAATAACGAAAAGGGTTTCATATGAGAGAGACACGAAGATTATCAATGCGGCATCATTTACCATCGAGCGTGAGGACCACACCATCGGAAACATAGTCCGCATGTAATTATATTTTGTCCTTATATTCTTTAATGAATATTTTTGAGTTTTGCTTAAAATTCCAATGCTTAAATACTTAATTTTAACGTAAAAAAAAATATTACACAGGCAATTACACAGGGACGAGAATGTACTCTTTGCTGGCTACAAGTTGCCTCATCCCCTTAAGTACAAAATCATTATTAGGGTTTGTTACTTAACTAGTATATTTATTCTTAGTTATTGTTTTGTTATATTATTTGCGATGTGGCATAGAGGAGCCAATCACTATGCTACTACAACAATACCAACCTAAACCTTAGTCCTAATAACTGGGCTACAGATCCTTTCTTCACCACTCTTTTTGATTCATTGTGGTCCAAGCGATATGTTTATGAGGATTTCATTATAAAATTTACCAGAGTTCTATTGTGACTGTCAATCTATTCTGACCTGCCTATATCAAAAACTAAAGGGCCTACTATCACACAAAAAATTAAAATTATTGACCATAACTGTCATTTTTGTTATGGCTAGACATCTTATTAACAATATTCCTGAAGATATATAGTGTACAAGTATATGTACAGCACGGGGATATTACCACTCTGTTCTTCAACTCATTTTCACCATCATTATGACACAGTACATGTTCTTTTTTTTTTTTTTTTTTTTTTTTTTTTCAAGGTTTTCTT